AGGAAGTCTGTAAGGATAAACCACCAGTAGGGGGAGCCCCGCCGATATGGATCGACTCAAGCATCCCTTGGGTTCCCGAAGGGTTCATGGCATGACCCTAGCCCCTCCCTGGGCTTCGGATGAGATCCACACACCCTGATTCCTTTAATGGAATACCCTTATGCATGGAGGGGCAGCTGATGGCCGCACCTCCCCTCCCCCACACGGCGCTATTCCAATGCCTAACCGCCAAACCTTACAAAGTTGTGACGATTGCTACGAGGTAGGCGAAAACCTGGTGCCAATTTGCCAAGTGGGAAAAATCCTATCAAGCCTCTCAACAGTGACCAACCAAAGTCCATAGCAAGGCCAGTGACCCTACCTAAAAGAAGGTGGGAGGATGGGAGATCCGCGGCGTGAGGCTGAAAGAGGAGCTGCCAGAGTCACATCACAGTTTAAATTGGCCCGGCCACACACCCCACAGCGCCCTGATTGGCCGGCTGGCAAATGGCATGGCCAGAACATCCTCAGTGTGACGTGGGACGCTATCCCTACACCACGCTGAGGCAGGAGTGTGGCCTAGTGGCCCAAGTGCAATCCGGTCCCACTTGGAAGCAGAACCAATTTGGAGAAGCCATCTGTTATGTACTGACTTGAATAGGATCCAGAATGCAGCAGTCTGATTGGTCCTAGAACAATAGGATCCAGAATGCAGCAGTCTGATTGGTCCTAGAACAATAGGATCCAGAATGCAGCAGTCTGATTGGTCCGCAGGAGCCACCCAATCCAGCTCCAGGTGGAAGTGAATCCGCAACCTGATTGGCCTACAGGAGAATCCCGGAATTAGCCAATCACGTGCAGCCCATTGTGTAAATAATGTATATAAAGCAGACATTCTGGGGGAACTTCTATTCCTCACCACTATGAGCTGAATAAAGAGCGTGAAATCCACACTCGACTCTGAGTATATTTCACCATCCTTCATTTTGCAGCAAGAGTGAGAGTGGTTCTCCAGGCAAACCATGATTCTGGAAGACGTGGCTCTCATTCTAGTTCACAAACAGCTAGAATGTGGGTGGGAAAGTATATTCAGATGCAGATCCAAATGTTCATCTGCCTGAGAGTAACAACAACTCAGGCAGTTATTTCCATAGCGCCCTCAAGATACATGGTGCTTTACAAAGAACAGGTGTGACAGGTCCCTGCCCCTGAGGGGCTTACGGTGCTAAAATAGACACAAGAAAACAAGAGCGAAAGGGAAGAGATCTGTGGGA